ACAGAATCTTTACACTTGGTTTGCCGGAGGTGACAAACGACCACGATATGTCCTGTCTACAAGAAACAGAACCTCAGGCCATATATGGCCAACTGGTAACTAAATCACATAGCAATATTTTGGTACATGATGTAAAATCATCCAGCAATGATTCTCCAGTATCAGCAGACATGTCTTTGAAAAGAACCAGTTCCACTCGGCCCTCACACGATGAAGTCAACAATCCCAAACCAAAGGATCTTAGTGAAGATCTTCAAGGAAACATCTTTCCCATTTCTGAGCAACCAATCGAGAAATTAGAGTCTTCCAAATCAAGTGTATCCACAGACAAACATAGAGGCCATCCAGTGGGCAGATTAAAAATGGATGTGAAACACTTAGAGGGAAGTGTTGTGGATAAATTGAGACCCACTGACAAAGATAAAGAGACCAGAAGCAGTCAAGCCAGGACAGATGTGCTGGGTAAAGGTTTCACATTTGGGAAAAAACCCTTCACTGCACTTTCTGGTGCTGAAGACAAAGGCAGCACTCACAAGAAGGAAACAACCCAAAGGAAACCCACCAAGCCCCAGTCAGCCCTTGTCACTTTGTTTGGACACTCCTCAGAGAAGAAGCAGAGTCAACAAAAAAACCCTGCAGGATCCTCAGAACAAACTAATAATGAAGATACGCAGGAAAAGCTCCAGGGTCCCCTCAGCTCCTCCAGCCAAGCAAAACAAAAAGCATCCAAGAACAACCAGCCACCACAGCCAGAGAAGACAGTGGTCATCCTTGATGATACACAGGAGAGTGCTGGAGGCTGCTCAGATACCACTGAGAGCAAGGAGACCAATGTCCTGTTGTTGGCTCCTGGTACAAGCTTTTCAAGTGATGATAAACATCAGAGAACTGAACTCAATGTCCATGACCAACCAGCTGTTGGCAGGCAGGTTCAGCAGCCACAGGACAGACGTCCATTTCTCTTGTCAGCACAGGAAAATCAGAAAGAAGATGCAATTAGCTTTGAAGGTGGAATAAACCCTTTTTATCCTCCTCCAGAGCTTATGTCTGCAGTTGATTACAGCAAAAAAAATCTCACTGGGGATGGAAATCCACATGTTGGTCATCCACCTGAAAGTCAGAACTTACTGAGTTTGGATGTCCAGAACACAATGGTAGAGGATGGGATTTTTTCTTCATCGAGTAATTTAGGAAAGTTACCCAAGAAAGCTGAGATTCAACTAGACAACATGGATTTTCAGGATGATGATAATGTTTTCATATCCGTAGAAAACAAAAGACAAGATTTTCCCAAAACAGTCACCCCAAATTTAGATTTGCAACATCCGCAGACAGAAACTGCACCTTGCTTTGATCCAAATCTCTCCAAGCTGGATCAGGAAATCCTAGCAGAAACAAATGCCCCACTGGTAGCATGGGACACTACCAGCCTCCTGTTCCTTTCTGGACAGGATGAGATTGTTACTGGAGACCCAGAAGGGAGCCAGAGCTGTGCACCACTGCAGCACTTTGATCCACAGAACCAGGCTCCCAGAGATGCTGAGGGTGCATTTGGAGAGGGTCCTAGTGCTGGAGGCCCAACAAACAAATATCTCCCCATGCAGGAAGGCAGCATTCCCCCATGGTACCTGTTCACCAGCCATGCTTCTGACAATCAGAATCTCTTTGATCCATTGAATGATGTTTCAGACCAAACTGGCCAAGATGCTCCTGCACAAATGGAAAGGAGCAGAAAAATATCAGAAGCTGAAGAAGCTCATGAAAATCTCTCCTCTGCAGACCCAAATGTGTTCAATGATGGCCTGTTAAAACAGGAGTTCTTTATATAGTTGGGGGGGAAAAAAGAAGGGCTTAGAAATCTGCCATCCCTCTGGCACTAGGTGAATTCAGTTGTGCATTGGCTGATTTATTAGCAGCTTAAGGAGCTAAATTTAAGATCTCTATCCTGATCGTAGCGGATCAGTGCTCGTTTCCCAAAAAAAGAACATCATAAAGTCTGGCTTCACTGTGAGAAACCTGCAAGGAGAGGGTCATTTCTGCAGTGGGACCAGCACTTCCATCTACTGCAAGGTTTCCTCTGAGGATGATTGCATGGCCACTGTCTACAGCAGTGAGCAACGAGCTCATCAAGACCTGAAACTCCCAAGAAAAGAAAGCTGTTATCAGCAAGGAACTGAATGCTTGGCCACAAGTGCAAAAAGAAAACACAATGGACAAAGGAGAGCTGAGGAGGGCAGGGTGGATATTTGCCTTTAAATCAGGTGTTTGCAGTGGTAGTGCTTCCACATAAATCAGATGTCTAAGCCCTCCCGGAGTTAAAGGAGGGTTAGTAAGTACTGTCAGTGTGGTTTGGAGAAAGATTCTGTTCACAATGAACAACTGTGTTCAAAAAGCTTACAGCCCTCAGAACTCCACCGAGTTTATTGATTGATCTCCTCTGATTACAGTGCAACTTTACATATCTATTTCACATAGAGACAACTATATTTAGACATTTAGAGCCGAATAGATGCCTTATCTACACTCTTTGATAACAATGTCTCACTCCCTCGTGATATTTTCCCTTTTTTAGACTGCAAAATTACTCCACGTGGGAGGCTACCATTGTTATACTCATTTTATGATGATAAGTAAAGATAAGCAAAATGACCTTGCCAAGGTCACTCAGTCTGAAGGCAGAGGAGAGGGAACCCAGGTTTCTTGTGGCATTGTGGCATCGCTACCTCTGCCATCCCTATGTGGTTTCATCTCAACCCCCCTAGGTGTCCTTTACTGCCATAGCATGAATACTACAGGAATTAGCAATTACAATAATAATAAGCAAGTTCATCAGAAACCTTAGAAAGCAGAAGTAAGAATACATAGATTATGAAAAAGTTTGTGTACATGGTCTATTGTGGTAAGAGGCATGGGTTGATGGCTGGACCAGATGATCTTAGTGGTTTTTCCAACCTTAATGATTCAATGATTCTATGATTCTGTGTAGCGCATCACTTCATGTTACGTGATGTGTTAATCTTGTCTGTTTAAAAAAAAAAGGATAATGATGTTAAAACATTTATATATATACATATATATATATATCACGCCATGACAGTAATGAAATATACACTGGCTCTGTCAGATCTGTTGGTGGAATAAAATTGCTTAATGACCGCATCTGCTGCAAAACAGAATGTCATTGCTTTTCAGAGAGACATGAGTATGAATCCAAGGAAAAGGGAGATGTCCTTGAGAGCTGCATGATTCATTAGATGCTGAAATTGGGATGGGCAAAGGCTTTGGGACAAAGTTTGAGGGAGCTGGGAGAAGGATCTAGGAGACTTCATTGCGACCTTCCAGTTCTTAAAAGGAGCTTATAACCAGGAGGGAGACTGACTCTTTCCATGGTCTGATAGTGATAGGACAAGGGAAAATGGTTTTAAACAAAAAAGGGAAGATTTAGATGAGATTTAGGAGGAAATTTTTCACTCATGGAGTGACACAGGCTGTCCAGAGATCTGCAGGTGCCTCATCCATGGAGGTGCCCAAGGCCAGGTTGAACAGGGCCCAAGGCAGCCTGACCTGGTGGGGGTTACCAGCCCATAGCAGGGGATTGGAAATAGATTATCTTTAAGGCCCATCCCAAAACAAGCCTTTCTGTGGTATGATTCTATGACCCATTCAGCCCCACAGCTCCTTGTGAGATGAAGATGGTCATAAGAACAATCTCTTTCTATGAAAAGTGTCACCTTAGGGTGACAGAGTTTATAAGAGGGCACTGAAGCTTACCCAGGTCATTAGCCAGGCCTATCTGGTGACATTATGAAGAACAGCCTCAAGAAGTCATGTCTGCATTATCACATGAGACAGCAGCCATGTCAGAGTCACTCCCAGAGAGATTTTATAGCCGAAATCTGACCTCTTGGGGATGGGGGATGCTGATGGATGAGGAATGGAAAGGAAGAACATGAGCCACATACAGCAGAGTAAGCTCAGAGATTTCAGCTGCCCATGCAGGATGGGTCCGAAATGCCTCTGCAATGGAAGATCTCCTTGGCCAAGTCATCCCAGAGCATAGCAGTCACAGATTTTGGCTACAAGGAACCTCTGGAGCATCCAAGAGACCTTTGCCAAATTACACACCACATTTCATACTCTGAGGGCAATCCAGGTTTCCAGTTCCCAGGAATAAAGATACAAACCACTCAGAGAGACTGCCCAGGAAATAGTTGAGACACACAGCAGAAATCAGGTCAATTTGCTTTTCAAGTGACATCAGAACCTCCTGCACAGCCAGGCTGCTGTCACCCCTTATCCCCAAATTCTGTGTGCTATGAATGACTATGTAATGAGTCCACTGTTAAGAAAAACAGAAAAAAGATACTCTCTCAGTCAAATCTGTTTTCAGATTATCTCCAAAATGCTGTAGTTTAGATTTAGTGTTACGACTGACCAGGGTTTCTACTTGGGACCAATGAAAACTGACAGCTTAGGACACAGCTGTCAACATCAAGCCAACACGTTGACCAGCCATATATCATTGTCCAAAGTAAAAGCACAAAGAAAGCTTTTCTGCTTCTCTTTCCTGGCAGCAGGGTGGGCTATCTAACCACGAAGCCATAAATGAGACCAGCCAAATTTGGTAAACGGCACCAGGTTTGAGATGGGACGGGGAGATCACTCACCAATCACCACCACGGGCAAAATAGACTCTGTCTATTTTGGGAGAATAATACGAATTATAGCTTGTTGTAACTAGAGCAGTGTGAATTAAAAGCAAACTAAAACCACTTTCCCCTGTGGCTCTGCTTGCAGAGGGCACCCTGCAGCCCCACCTGCTACCAAAACCTTGACACGTAAACCCAACCCAAATGGCTGGTGACAAAGTGCATCCCAGAGGACTCCGGTATATCATTTTAGTGGGGGAACATGCTGGTTGAAGTGCTCGTTTTATCACATCTGATTAGGTGTTTAGTGCTCATACAGTTTAAACATTAATATTGCACTATTTAAGTGACATGCTTCACAGTAGCCTGGCCACAGAAGTAGTCACCATGGTCGAGTTTGGGGATTTGATAAGTGCTGTGGGGGAATTTGGCCTCTATCAGAAACTGGTGGTACTGTTGCTCTCCCTCCCGCTGCTTCTTAATCCCTTCCAAATGGTTGGCCAAGTGTTCATGGTTGTGGACGTGCCTCATTACTGCAACACGGACTGGATCCGTGCTGTCGGCCCCAACCTGACTGAGGAAGAGCAGCTGAACCTCACCCTGCCCCGGGATGCAGATGGGGAGTACGAGCAGTGCTCCATGTACTCACCCGTGGACTGGGACCTCGACTCCATCATGGCATATGGCCTGAATGCCACGGAGAAGTGCAGCAATGGCTGGGTGTACCCCACAGCACAGCAGCCATCCCTGCTCACCGAGGTCTGTATGTCCTTGTGATGCTTTGGGGATGTGGGATGATGGGATGGGATGGGATGGGATGGGATGGGATGGGATGGGATGGGAGCATCCTGTGCAGTTGGTTGGTTCAAGGAAAAGCCACAGTGCTCACCACGCATCTTCTTTTCAGCATCCAGGTAATTTGCAATGTATGTTGTATGGAGGGGCCTTTTCAATCTCCCTGCCAGTTTTTGCTTTCCTTTTGCCTGATTCTCCTTACATCCCCAACCCCGTGAAAAATATTTGCCTTCCCAGAGTTTTACTTGTAGTTGAGTTTTCTGGAACCTCCAGAGACTTCAGGGCTTGGACAAGATGTCCTATGGGCCATGAAGATGAGCAATGGCTCTGCCTACTGATACCCCCAACTTCTCCCTCTCTGAACCTCTGTTCACTCTTCCTCATTTCTCTCTTCCTTTTTCCTCACTCCCAGCTCCAGCATCTTCTCACAAGTACCTTCCACTGAGCTCTCTGCTGCTCTCCTGTCTTCCTCCCTTCCTCCTGCCCTTGCAGCCAGGGAAGCAAGGTGCTGAGACTCCGGTCGCAAGGTCCTACTTCAAATACAACATCCCAGCCAGGAGGCTCCTTTGGGGTGTCTATGCTGGAGAGAGTCCTGCAGGTCCCAGTGCTATGGGCATCATTGAGTTCCCAATGGATCTGTCCCATATTCAACCTGTGCAGTTCACATAAAGGTTCATACCTTTAGGAGTGGGATCTCTGCTCCCAGGGGCTACAGCGAGAGCCTGAGCGCACAGTTCCCATGTCTGCCTGGGACCAGAAGCACTGCCCAGCCTTAGAAACTTGGACCACTCAAAAGCAAAAGCATCTGTGTTTCCTTCCTCCAGTTTGACCTTGTGTGTGACAGGAAGGACCTGAGTGACATCTCCCAGTCTGTGTACATGGTGGGGCTTCTACTAGGAGCTATGATCTTTGGACCACTCAGTGACAGGTGAGGAGACACAAATACCTACTCAGAGTTACTGTCTGGCACCCAAAAACATGCCTCACTGAGATTCATGATGCTCGTGCATTCATTAATGAATGATGAATGAAGAAATACCCCCTCCACAGAACTCAATCCCTTACCTGAGCAAGAGCATCTCAGTTGTCCGTAGATACCTGAGAGGTAATGGAAGATACAGCCTTACGAAGGTGGGGGGGTCAATCAGCAATCACGATTCCAGTCCCAGTTGATGTCTCAGCCACACAGGGATTCCACAGACCTACATTTGGGCACCTTCAGCTGCTAACCAGAGCACATGTGCTTCTTTTTTGTGGCTCTGTTCTGCTTATGGTGACCCTGGCCAAAGACCTCAGGTTGTGAGAGCTCACAGCCACGCAGGGATTGTGAAAGGGGGAAAGGCACCGTATGTGTACAGAGTATTTCAGAGTTGAACCAATAATACAGCCTGTTTCAGTTTCAGTCTGATCCTCTTTGCACTCAGCAGAGGTGTTATGGAGGCCTTCCAAGGGCTTGGTACTTTGGAAGTGACTTTGACCTTTGCTGGCAACACATCTGGTCAGAAGTGGCAAGGCTCCTTTTCCTGTCTGCTCCTTCCTGGGTCAAGGAGCTTTGTTCACATGGATCCCAAATCAGTGTGTATCCCTCTGGATTCTTCCCCATACCCATGGAGTCTCTCCAGATACCAATTGTGCCTTCCCTCTTCTTCCACAGGATCGGCCGCCGGCCAGTCCTTCTGATCTCCATCCTCGGCCAGAGTTTGTTCAGTTTAGCAATTGCCTTTTTGCCCAATTTCATTGTATACATGGTCTTCAGATGTATCATGGCAACTGCTGTGTCAGGAATTCTGATTACTACCTTGCCCTTAGGTGAGTAGGCTGCCCTTGATGTGAGGCAGATTGATGAGGCCTCTCAAAGATGCAATGCAAAAAGGGACATAAATGATAGTCCTGGACATTTTAAAGGCAACCCTCTTAAAGAAAGTCTCTGTGATAGACGTGGTCCTCCTCCCCCAGAAACATGAGCTATATGAGCCATTCTCCAGGACAAAGTCTAAAGAAAGAGGCATGGGGGGGTTCATTATAGGGACTGTGCTAACAACCCAGAAGATGCTGTGAGCCCTTGACAGGGACGTGCAGTGTCTTCATTGTGTGAGGCCATTTCTAACATGACACTGTCAACATCCTGGAGGTCTGACTGCCAGCCTCCAGACTTCCGTAGAGCTCTTCCCTGGGAGAGAAACACTGCTTGAATGAGGGGAAATCATTCACAATGATGACACTGAATCTTCATTATTCTTTTCAGCTACAGAATGGGTTGGTGTCTCCTATCGACCAACAGCAGTGCTTATAACTCACTGCTTTTTAGCTACTGGACAACTGGTCTTGGCTGGCTTGAGTTATGGTATTCGTAACTGGAGGTTGCTGCAAATAGCAGGGTCTGCTCCTACGTTTGCCCTTTTCTTCTACTTCTGGTAAGTGACAGGTGGCAGTGAGTTGCCTGCAAACATGACAGATGCTGGAGGGGCTTCACACATTATGCCCACTGCTGGCCAACCAACCTATGAGGAAGCTCAGCAGGTCACAGTGCTGTTTTCTGCTCTCACCTCCTTGGCAGGGTGCTACCAGAGTCAGCTCGCTGGCTGGTGACAAAAGGCAAAATAGAAGAAGCTAAGAAGTACCTTAAGAAGGCAGCATCCATCAACAAACGCACCATTCCTCCAGAACTGCTCGACCAGGTACAGCCGTGGCATGCCTTGTAGACCCCAGAGACCTGCCTCTGTGCTTGCAGCCCTGGGGCAGCATGATTAAGCCAGTCAATAAAGACCTGGGAAGATGCTGGTGTTTCCAAGTCAGAAAAGATTTGTAGAAGATTTTGGGTCACTGGGCAAAGAGCTTTCCATGCATGTGGGGGAACACGTAATGATGGGTGATGGATCACTCCAGCTTACATTGACGTGAGACATGGTCAGGGAGGAGGGGCATCTTCTGCTGAGGCTCAGCCTGCAGCATTTCCAGAGTTCACCATGGGGGAAAGAAAGGAGGAACCAAAATGCTCCCCTTACTTTTCTGCAGTAAAAACTGCACAAGTGTTGAGGTTGAGCATGAATCCTTGCTCTGTGCTTTTCCATGCCTAAATATCTGAAGGGGGGGTTACCCAGCTTCCCGATCCGTGCACCATACACTGGCAAAATGTTCATCCCAAGGAACCCCTCAGATTCCAAACTCTTGCTCAGGACACCCAGTCCCCAGGCACAAGAGCCCAGCCCCACTGGGCTGCCGTCCTTCCCAGTACAGCTTTGGTCACCTCCATGTCCTGCTGGGGTTGTCCTTTGTCTCCTGCTGGAAAAAGAGCTAGCCGTGGGTTTCCTTTGTCTGCTCTGACTCTGGCTTTCTGATTGTTGAAGCTGAAGTGTGAGACCCAGACCAAGTCTGGAAGTATTCTGGATCTCCTTCGGAAGAAGCACCTCCTGAAGGTGACTTTAATCATGTCGTGTGCCTGGTAAGTCACCTCCTGGTTCCTTCTTTCCTGACTTCCATGTGAAGAGGAGAAGGCCTTCATGATTATTCACAAGTGTAAATTCATTTCACGATTTTGGGGGTCATGGGATCATAGAATCAGTGACATAGGAAAGATCATCAATCCAACCACGAACCCATGCTTGTGACCACCTGTGAATCATTGTGGAACTGCAGAATCATAGAGTGGCTTGATTTGGAGGAGGCCTCAAGGATCATCAGGTTCTAATCACCCTGCCACAGGCAGGGCTGCCAGATGCTAGATTCAGTACTAGATCAGATATCCCAGAACCCCATAACATCTATATATTTGCTATCCTTTCTCTGCAGGCTGGATGAGATACACCTTTTCTGGGCATGGGGAGAAGATGATTATTCTAGATACCGTGGGGGTTGTGGGAAGAGCTGGAGTAATTCCAATTTTCTGGGAATCTCTGGACTTTATTAGGGCAGTTTTGGGTCTCTACAGAAATTCTGGTTACAGCCTATATGTTGCTGAGCATATTGATGCCCATAGTGCATTATCCCATTTAACTGTATCCTACAAAATTGTCACAAGTGTTGATCAGAATTAAAATAGAGATTCCTGGTAATTTAAACAAATAACTGGCATGTCTTCTAACTGGCTACATTTTTAAAGGAAAATAAATCCATGAAAACTCAACTGAATACCTACTCTATTCCATTGAATTTCAGGTTTATGGATAGTCTGGTCTACTATGGTTTGAGCCTTAACGTGACAGGCTTTGGTCTCGACATCTATCTGACACAACTTGCTTTTGGAGTAGTGGAGTTACCAGGTCGTATTTGCTGCATTTACCTGCTACAGTGGTTTGGGAGGAAAAAAGTCCAAGCTGTTCTCCTGCTGTTGGCTGGCTTGATGTGTCTCATCATTGTTGGCATCCCTGAAGGTGAACAACCTCTTTCCAACTCAAGGGAGAGCCCCAGCTCTTTTTAATTTCTTTCAGAACTGTCCCCTCTTATCTGTTTCTAACTACAGTTTCCCTACAGTATGTACCCTGTTATTCTGGTGATGCAAGTAAGGCAGGTTTGTTACATGCTTTCAAGCTATTGAATTGTAGATTCATAGAATCATACAAGTTGGAAAGATGACTAAGATCATCTGGTCCATCCATCAACCCACACCTGTGACTGCTCTACACCTCAGTACACCTCTACACTGCTCTACCCTCAGTGCCACATCTCCACGTTTCCTCAACACCTCCCTGGACACCTGTTCCACTCTTTCCAAGAAGAAATTTTTCCTAATATCCATCCTGAACCTCCCCTGGTGCAACTTGAGGCCATTTCCTCTTGTCTTACTGCTAGTTATCATATCTATTATATGTGATATTTTCAAATTAGCATTTCCCAGTGACCTTCAGTGGCTTATTTAGGAAATGTTCAAGGCCTGAGAAGAAATATGGGTTTCCTTTGCTAGTTGTCCAGAGGGTATTTTGCTGAAAAGGATATGCTAGGAGTGGTATCCAATACCTTAGGTGGCAGATCTGTTTGGAAAGCCCATTAGAATCATACAACCATAGAATTGTTTGAGCTGGAAGGACCTTTAAAAACCATCTAGTCCAACTCCTCTGTAGTGAACAGGGACAACTACTACTTGATCAGAGCCCCATCCAGCCTGTCCTTGAATGACTCCAAGGACAGGGCATCCACTGCCTCTATGGGCAACCTGTGCCAGTGCCTCACTGCCGTTATTGTAAACGACTTCTTCCTTATCACCATCTATATAATCTGTATCTCCCCTCTTTTAGTTTGAAAATATTCACAACAGACCCCGCTAAAGAGGGCTGTCTCCAAAAATCCAACTGCAGAGACCCAAGGTCTTGCTTGAACCTTCTCCATGGGCATCACAGCAGCTATCTCTTCTCTTCCCCTCAGACCAGGCAGTGGCAATCACCGTCCTGGCAGTCATTGGCAAGTTTGCTGCATGTGCTTCCTTCTCCACCTCCTACGTCTACTCTGCAGAGCTCTTCCCCACCATCATCAGGTGAGATTCCCCCATACCCTATGGCTTCCCGTGATGGTGGGACGACACAGGGATGCACACTCCAACCCGGGTGCTTGTGGTGAAGGGGCAGGAAGGAGGCATCACGACATAGCTGCCCCTTGTACCTCCTCATGGTGTAGTGCTGGTCTTCTGTAGGGCTGAGCCCAGCCTACATCTTTCACTTTCCCCTTCATCCCACAGGCAGAGCGGCGTGGGGCTGTGCTCGATGGCAGCACGGGTGGCGGGGATCATCGCCCCGCTGATCCGCCTCCTGGAGCAGTACCACAAGGCCATCCCCATGGCTGTCTACGGCAGTGCCACTGTGCTGGGGGGGCTGCTCTGCTTCCTGCTGCCCGAGACCCGCGGGGTTGATCTGCCAGATGACACGGTGACAGATAACCCCCAAAAGAAGTGAGTGCTTGAAGGTTTTTAAAGCAAAAAAAAAAAAAAAAAAAATCCACATGTGAAAATTTTAGGACAAACAGTTGGAAGCTAGAATGGTTACGGTATGATTTCTTCCTCTCTCCTTCATGTCTCTAGAAGCAAATTGCAGACCCTGTCCAAGACAAACAGTGAAGAGAAAGAAATAAACTCAGAGAAAGATATCTAAAGATGCTCGGAAAGCAAGCAGATACTAAAGGTCTACTCTAACAGAATCTGATCTTAAAGCAGAGCAACGAGGCACTGCTGTCTGAAAACTGGTCTTGCAGATGATCAACAAACTCACCACTCACACGCAGAGGGAGAGGAGATCTGTGTCACTGCGTTTGGAAAAGACGCGCGTGGGACTGTTGTTGAGACCCAGTCTGTTTGTGCCTGGCTGTGTGAGTCCTCCCTGACGTGTTTCCCAGTCCCTTGCAAACTGGTACCCGTGGAACCATCCCTGTCGTGATTTACAGCAATAAAGAATTGCCAGCAGAGCGGCATTACTGGGCAAGCGAGCGCCGGGCTGCGTCCCTCCTGCACTGAGCGCTGGGGTCGTCAGCCTTGGCGGCGGTCCGAGCCTCCGTGTCTGATCAGGATGGCACCAAAACCCTGTCACACTATTGAGGTTTTCTTCCTATGTGGTGTTGAATTTGAATTGCTACAGGAATAACATAAATTAGATTTGGAGTTTGAGAAGAGATGCTTGTAATGCAATACGTGAAGAATAAATGGTGTTGATTTCTTTTTGTTTTTTTTCCTACAGTTTCACAGTTGGCCTTTGTAACTGCTGTTGGCTCTGGAGTGTTTTTTACACAGCAATTGTAAGCCTGTAATGTAACACACAGATGGAAACGTGTTTGGTTTCCCTCAGCCACCAACAATGCAGAAACAGAGTGTTGAAGCAGAATGAGTGGGTTCAATTAGGACATTTTTATTTCTGAGTCTTCTGATGAACAATCTATATTTATATTTTTTTCTTGATGAGCAGCTTTGGAACCTCCCTGAGCTGTGCTTATACAGTGTGACTGAATGTGAGTTAAACTGAGTGGACAGATGGATGCTTTACCCCAGTCATGGTCAGCTGCTAATGAAGACCCCATTTGGCTACTGCCAGGTTGACCACAACATTCAGTGGCATCTGGTGTCCCACAAAGGAAGCAGAAGGGTGGCTTTTTGTCTTACTCTGCCTAGTTGCAGTCAGAGATGATCTTTAAGGTCCCTTCCAAACCACGCCATTCTGTGAGTTCATGCCCTTTCATTAAGCTGTCTCTCCCAGCACAACACTAGCCTTGTTCCCAGGATCTTGTTGGCCACTGAGCAAAAAGCATTCTAGCATTTTTTTTCTGAAGGATGAGGTATTCCAAGTCCAGGCCAAGCATGTTTGGAGGCTCACAAGATCTCCTGAAATTGCACATTCATTGATCTTAGTTAGCACACCCTTCAGCCACTCACAGTGTCCCTGACATTTGTTCATCGTTACCTTTGGCACCTTCCCACGGTTGGCCCTCCCATTATGGTTTCATAAACTCTTCCACCAAGGCCTGGCATCTGCTGCTCCTATTTCAAAGAATCATAGAATCATAGAATCATAGAATCTAGAATGGCCTGGGTTGAAAAGGACACAATGCTCATCTAGTTTCAACCTCCTGCTATGTGCAGGGTCACCAACCAGCAGACCAGGCTGCCCAGAGCCACATCCAGCCTGGCCTTGAATGCCTGCAGGGATGGGGCATCCACAGCCTCCTTGGGCAACCTGTTCCAGTGTGATTTTTGTCCCCACCTCTCCTAGAGCCTTCCCACTCCCTCCACTTGGATATGGGCTCATCCTGTTTCCCTTACTTATCCCTTCAGATCACCTCAGGCACTTTTTACCTTTTGCCCATGACCTCACTATGATGGGAAGCCATAACAATGCATTATATGGATGCAAAAGCGTGTTGCTTTTACAGAAGCTATTCTAACTTGAGTTTGCTCTATCAGCTCTATTTGTTCCTGTGCAGGACAACATGTAGAGCTAACAATGACATTAAACACAGCAATACCACTGGACAACTTCCAAATCCTGATGAGCTGTGCAAAACATCATCAGTCAAACTGTCCAGGTGCTCCTCAGCCAAAAATGAAACATCCACTGGTCTTCACACTAACCAGGTGCAGTTGTCTGGGGAAAAGGAGACAAAATGGATCTGCAACTTATGGGAAGGACAAATGAGATGGACACAGAAGTACATCAAGTGTGCCTGGACAGCTTTATTTATGAAGTGAACTGAAACAGGCTGTCTCATAGGAGACTTCATAAAAGGTGAAGCCACGATTCACTCCATAACTGTGCGCTTTACTCCAAGCTCTTCTCTCAACTTTCACGTTCATCCCCTTATTTTCCATAACAAACAGCCTGACGGAGGCAGCTGCCAGCCTTTGCAAAGGAAAGAGTGTTCTCAATCAAAGGACAGATCACCTCCATATTCAGATCCACTGAACAGGATCATCTCAGCCACAACTTGTCAAATCCCCTGACCAGCAGTGCTGCAGAGAGGTAACACCAGAGTCAGTCTCTCCTGCTGGGACACTGTTGCAAGTCACTGATTTTATCTAGAATGTTGTCTTCAGTAAACCACACACCTGTGGGACACTTTGCTCCAAGGAAAACACGTAGGTATAATGAGGAAGAAATAATGTATCATCTGAGAATTTCTCAGCATTACCAGAAACAAATAAACCTTTCAGCTGTATGCAGTCAAAGCTGTAGCACCACCACTGTGTAACTTTCTGGGCTTCATCATTTAAATATACATGGATACAGCAAGAGGGAAGGGAAGGGAAGGGAAGGGAAGGGAAGGGAAGGGAAGGGAAGGGAAGGGAAGGGAAGGGAAGGGAAGGGAAGGGCTATGACAGTTCTAAGAGACCAAGTGCCACAACACCTCTCAGTTTCTCAGAACATATAAATTAATGTGGTTCCTCTACCACAGCCCAATCCAACACATTACTACACTTCTATTCAAAGCCACCAGCTGCCTTACAGGCGTCCTTGCTCAATGCTTGCTGTTTCTTCTATCGTACCCTCTTGTTTTCCTCAGCTGATAATCTCAAATCTTAAAAAAGAATAAAACATAAGGGAGCATTTTTAAAAGAGGGTGAGAAAACCACGCTAGACAGTCAAGAGAAATCCCTCTAGCAAGTGTGAGATGGTTTTCAGTGCTGCATCTGTGCTGCCTTTCCCCTCACTGAATACAGTGCTTCTTTGCTGGTCTATTCAATGCTCTGGCAGGTGTCTCACTTTACAGTCTCATGTTCTTGGAGATGGGACAGGAAAGAGATAGGGAAAATATCACATCTATTCTGTTTTCCAATTTCTTTCTTTTTTCCTTAAACTAAAAGCATTTTCTCCAGCGAGAGCACTGTTGAACATGAGACAGCATGCAGTGCCCAAAGAGAAGCTATAGAGGGAGATACAGGAAGGCAAAAAAGACAAAGAGTGACAAGAACTGGCAGTCACTGTTGAGTGGGAGAGGTCCCATAAAATGGAGACCCTGCCTGCACTCAGCAGTGTCACAGCACCAGGTGGCCTTTAATTACAGCTGCTTGTAGGCCCAGCTAGAAGTAAGTGTTCTTTGTATTCTCATTGACTTGGCCACCATCTTTTACTTTCACATGTCCTTTTTCAGAGCTGCTGCTGGCATTTTCATGGACCTAATGGAACAGAAAAAACTTAACAGCATGGCACAGTATGATTCGATGACAGTCTTCTCCAATTAGGCAAATTACACGCAGCCTTCAGCAACCTGGCTTCCCATACATCATCCATTCTATGACCACTGGTGGAACCCCTTCCACTAACAAAAGTACTGGGCTGCAATTCCACACTGCCCATTGGTGAATGAGGATCTGGGATCCAAACCATGATGAAAGCTGGAGAGCAAGGTGACAAGGCATTGGCTTTTCCTTGGGGAGGGCAGGGAGAGCCAAGGGAAGCATCCACCACTCCTGGAGCCCTTTCACTTCATGGACAGGAACAAAGCAATGACCACAGTGGGTCTGAAATACCCTTCTGGGTTGGGTGATGGGCAGATCACCACCAGCATCCTACTCATCCACTGTAATGGGGAACCCCAATTCCCTGTCTTCCAATCACTGTAAGCCCTCAAAGAAGCAATGACCCCCTGCCCACACAATGCCATAGGGCCATTCTGTGGTCCCACTTTCACCTTCTGACTAAGAGGAGGCAGCATGAGGTCTGCCAATCACTCACCACTGCTGTGGGCTGGTCTCCCTCTGTGCCATCCGCCAGTTCGACGCCACGGGTCTCAGGCAGCAGGAAGCAGAGCAGCCCCCCCAGCACGGTGGTACCACCATAGATGGCCATGGGGATGGCCTGGTGGTACTGCTCCAGGAGGAGGATCAGCGGGGCGATGATCCCTGCCACCCGTGCCACCATGGAGCACAGACTCACGCCGCTCTGCCTGTGGGAGTGAGGGACAGTGAGAGATAGAGGCTGGACTTGGCTCTCTCTGTACACACTCCTGTGTGTACAGCTTTCTTCCTCAGCCATGTCTGCAATGCCTCAGTGAGGGTACAGAACATGGGGACGTCCATGGCACCTCCTTCCTGCCCCAGCACAGAGACCAACCGTGGCTGTAGGCCCAGCTGGGTTAATGTCCCACCATCACCACCACCACTACCCATGGCAGATTGACACAATTGGTACTCCTGCAATGAGGGCTGCCCTGCTGGAGGGAAGCCATGAAATGTGGTGAAACCTCACCTGATGATGGTGGGGAAGAGCTCTGCAGTATAGACATAGGCTGATGAGAATGAGGCTGAGGCTGTAAACTTGCCAATGGTGGCCAGGACGGTGATCACCACAGGCTGGCCTGAGGAGAGAGAGGAGAAGAAGGGGAGAAGAAGGGGAGAAGAAGGGGAGAAGACGGGGAGAAGAAGGGGAGAAGGTGTCAAGATTGCTACTTCAGGATTGGTGGCTAGCATCCCTTAGGGATGGCAGCCAGGGACTCATGGTGACAACCACGTTGCCTAAAGGAAGTCATCACCACTGTGTCTGAATGTGGACTGTGGAGCAGCTCTAGTCTGGGGGCCAACCCCAGCACCCTGAATCCATCTCACCTCCCCACCAACCTGCACAAAGAACTGCACTGCCAGTTGAGCCCATTGGGCTCAGCTCTACTTTCTCCTATCACTGTCAGCAGGCAAAACTTTTCTGATCAGATGGGCCTTGGGTACATGACCAAATCCCTTTGTAGCCATGGTATCAGGTTCAGCTCAACCCTGACAGATATGTGGAACTGCATCCAGCCATGTTGGGACAATGGGACCTGCACTAGAAGGGGAAGGGTCGGGGCTTGGTGGCTTCCTGCATCAGAATCTATGCTCTTGAGACAAGAAAAGCTTGTTCACCTTCAGGGATGACAGTGAGTATCAAACATACAAGGCCACTCAGCAGAAGGAAACCACCCTGGGATTTCTTCCTTCCAAACCACTGTAGCATGAAGATACAACCAACACGGCCTGGGATTTCCACTGCTCCAAATGCAAGCTGTGTCAGGTAGATGTCCAGACCAAAATTAGTCACGTTCAGACTCAAACCGTAGTATACAAGGCTGTTAACAAACCTGAAAACCGAGCAGAGAAGCACTAAGTGTAAAGAACAGCTGTGAGTAAAGACAATATTGACCTCCTCTGACAACATTTTGACCATGTCCCAAGGGACATGAAACCAGACCAGTAACGCAGGACTGCCACAGCAGGGACTGTTAAAACTTTCGCACACACTACATTGCATCTTCGACAGCCTAAAACAGAAATAACCATCAATTTCATCCCAAAGCCATACGAGGTGAATTTATGAGTAACCCTAAAGGCCTTCTCCTCTTCACATGGAAGTCAGGAAAAAAGGAACCAGGAGGTGACTTACCAGGCACACGACATGATTAAAGTCACCTTCAGGAGGTGCTTCTTCCGAAAGAGATCCAGAATACTTCCAGACTTGATCTGGGTCTCACACTTCAG